GAGCCACCCTTCCAATAGGCTCCAATGGAACCTCCGCTAAGCACATAGGGTCGGAGTCCCCAGCCACCTTCTACTAGAGACTAGAGCCAGTATACCTGCTTTACACGTGGGTCCTCAGGAGAATATTTTCTTCCAGCAAGGTATCTCAGAGGAGGGAGAATTCCATACAGTAGAACAGCCTTGAGCCTTAAATCAGACCTGGTTCTAGCCTAAAGTTTGTCAATGAGGTAGACAGCTTAATTGCACCTTCTACAGGTCTAGACTTCATCATAAAATGAAATGGCTCACTAGGCGTGAACTCTCAGGAGTTTGAGACCAGCCTGACCAACATGGTGAAACCCTGTCTCTACTAAAAACACAAAAATTAGCCGGCTGGGGTGGTGCACGCCTGTAATCCCTGCTATTCTGGAGGCTGAGGTAGGAGAATCTCTGGAACTCAGGAGGCAGAGGTTTCAGTGAGCCAAGATTGCACCACTGCACTCCAGTCTGGGTAATAGAGCGAGACTCCATCTCAAAAGTAAATAAATAAATAAATGGCTCAATTATAAATCATCTGCAATATTCCTTCTAGGTCTAAAACTCTAGAATCAGCCAGGGGCAGTGGCTCGTGCCTGTAATCCCAGCACTTTGGGAGCCCAACGTGGGCGGATCGCCTGGGGTCAGGAGTTCGAGACAAGTCTGACCAACATGGTGAAACCCCTTCTCTACTAAAAATACAAAAAATTAGCCAGGAGTGATGGTGGGCACCTGCAATCCCAGCTACTTGGGAGGCTGAGGCAGGAGAATTGCTTGAAACCAGGAGGTGGAGGTTGCAGTGAGCCGAAATTATCCCACTGCACTCCAGCCTGGGCCACAGAGCAAGATTACGGCTCAAAAAAAGAAACAAACAAAAACTCTAGAATCTATGTCTACCGCTACCAAATGTTTCAAATGAAGATAATGACAACTTTCTCTCTATAGCAACTCTCAGTTCTCAGGAACTTTTCCTGTTCATACCTTTCCAACAGGCTTATATTGAGTTCAGAGACCCCTACATTTAACACAAACAAGGAACTATTCCAATGAAATGTTTTAATTAAAATTAATCTGTGGAATGTTACTTTTACTAATTGTTTACTCTGAAATTAATGTCTAAAACACACACACACACACACACACACCCGAAAAACCCCACCAACACTCTATTCTAGACAGTAGCTCAGCTTTATTTTCTTGATCTCCCAGAGATGTTCTTTTTTCCTGGAACTAGGGAACATTTTATGTGTTAAAATAAAGTAGTAGAGAAATAGTAGACGCCAGTACCATCTATAGCAAGTCAAAAGGCCTCTGATTTTTCATTTATTTGATAGTGCTGACTTTATCTGTTTTCAAGAAATGTTTTTCCTTTTGCTGGATTAAATACTAGTGACAGGTAAAAAGCAGAGTAAGCAACAACAAATAATGGGTTTCACCATGCTCTCCTCCTGGCTTGCCTATTAACTAGCTGTGTGGCCTGGAGCACATTACCTAACCTTTCTGAATCTCAATGTATTCATCTGCAAAATATGGATAATAACACACCAGTGCCACTAATGCTCCACCGCCCACCACCACCAGAGGGTTAAATGAGGGAGAAGGGATAAGGCCAGGCACAAGAAGCAGGCAAAGTATGGGTTCTCTCACTGACTCTTCGAAGCATAAGCATTTGCTTCATTTTCAAAAGTATGGACACTGCTACCAATGAACTCTGGTGATTAAACAGAAACAAGTTCTAGAAGATCCATGTAGGTTGAATCAGTCCAGAGCCAACCAAGAGTGGAAGCAAAAGTTAGGCTCCCAGGCCGGGCACAGTGGCTTATGCCTGTAATCCCAGCACTTTTTTTTTTTTTTTTTTTTTTTGAGACGGAGTCTTGCTCTGTCTCCCAGGCTAGAGTGCAGTGGCGTGATCTCGGCTCATTGCAAGCTCCGACTCCCGGGTTCATGCCATTCTCCCACCTCAGCCTCCCAAGTAGCTGGGACTACAGGAACCTGCCACCATGCCTGCTTAATTTTTTTGTATTTTTAGTATTTTTTTGTATTTTTAGTTTCACCATGTTAGCCAGGATGGTCTCGATCTCCTGACCTCGTGATCTGCCCACCTCGGCCTCCCAAAGTGCTGGGATTATAGGCGTGAGTCACTGTGCCCGGCAATTCCAGCACTTTAAGAGGCCGAGGCAGGAGGATCACTGAAGCCCAGGAGTTCAAGACCAGCCTGGGCAACATAGCAAGTCCCTGTCTCTACAAAAGTAAAAAAATTGGCAGCACACACCTGTTGTCCCAGCTACTCAGGAGGCTGAGGTGGGAGGATCACTTGAGCCCAGGAGATGGAGGCAGAAGTGAACCAGGATCACACCACTGCACTCCAGCCTGGGTGACAGAGCAAGACCCTGTCTCGAAAGGAAAAAAAAAGTTAGGCTTCCAAAGTTTACCTAAACATCTTCTTTGAAGAAACTCAAGTTGCTTCCTCATTTTCAATGTTAAGGTCAGTGTAAAAGGGGATGGTGGAGACTGTGGAATTTACTATCAGTTCTGACTTTAGGGGTTTAACATCTGGCAAACTAGGCCTCATGTCTTCATTCATCATCAGATTTAGCTAATCTGAATCCTTTTAATTGGAAACATCTATTAATCTAAATTGCCCTCCTGCTTCTCTGACAAAGCAGAAAATGACTTCAGAATATGAACCTTACAGAAACTGAATCATACTTTAGCCAAAATGAATTATACATTAAAGAATTTATAATTATATTACAGGTGGAGTCTGATGAGTCTGATTTTGTTGGCCAATTAAGAAAGGAAGGGCTGGCCGGGCGCAGTGGCTCATGCCTGTAATCCCAGCACCTTGGGAGGCTGAGGCAGGCGGATCACCTGAGGTCAGGCATTCAAGACCAGCCTGGCAAACATGGCGAAACCTCATCTCTACTAAAACTACAAAAATTAGCCAGGTGTGGTGGCAGGCACCTATAATCCCAGCTACTCAGGAGGCTGAGGCAGAAGAATTGCTTGAATCTGGGTGGTGGAGGTTGCAGTGAGCTGAGATCTCGACATTGCACCCCACCCTGGGCAACATAGCAAGGTTCCATCTCAAAAAAACAAAAAAGAAAAGAAAAAAGGAAGGAAGGAAGGACGGACGGATGGACGGAAGGAAGGGCCTCCACCTATATCATTCAAATGTAATTACCCCATGTTATACCTGTGGATATTTCGGTACAAAAACAAAAGTGGGAAAAGCATCTGCCTGAGTGTTTCAGAAAGCCTGAAAAGGGAACTAACTAGGATAAAGAGATTTTGTAGGTAGTAGAGAAGCTTCTAGAACTGGTTCTTTTCTTGATTATCACCTGCAATTTTCTGTGTATTCCATGCAGTCCCAACATTGCTCCTAGAATCCAAACTCATATCAAAAAACAAGGTCATTAGGAGATAGAGTAGAGGGATCCACGCCTCCCAGGTGAATTACTCTAGCTCAACTGCCCAGAAGGTGGGACGATATCCACCTTTTCTGGAAAGACCTATTAACCAGTCCCATTCATTTGCCTTTCGCTTTCTCCACAAAGCTATGTCCTGCTTTTCCACTTACAAGGTCATATGCAACTCGAATCTCTGTCTACCCATCTGGCATCCACCCTTCCAGACCCTACTTAAATGCTACCTCCTCAAATGCCAAAGAACTCCAAAACTCGGTTGATCATTCTGGTGGAAGCTGATCTCTCCCTCCTTGGCAGCCTGTGTACCCCTGATGCGTTTTGTAAACTTGCAGCTACTTTGATTTTGTCTTGGATTGTACTTGGGTCTTGCCTTAACCCTTGGTCCAGATGGCAAATACGGACAGCCCCTGTGAGCACAGCCACGTTCTCAGTTAAGGATCTTTTTCTCTCCCAAAGCGCATCGCCCCTCTCACCAAGTGGTGGCTCAATAACATATCTGATAGTTTCAAGGCACCAGATTTAAATATAAAGACGGTGTGGGTGGCTGATTTCATGTGTGTTGCCACACCAAACCATACTAGTGAGTTTCACGTTGCCGTGCTTGGCTTTGGGCTCCCTCGCTGTCCCTGGACAGAGACGCTCAGCAGTCGTGAAATCACCACAAAGGTGGGCAGGAAGAAGGGGAAGAAAGGGAAGCCAGGGCTGGAATAATCCAGTCTGAGTCACCACTTCCTGAATGCTGGGGCTCGTGGCTTCGCAGGTTCGGGAAAAGGGCAGCAAAGCCGCGCTTGGAGGACGAGCCCCCGCCCCGCGCCCGGCGCCCCCAGCCGGCAGCCGCTGCCCCGGCACCACGTGCTGGAGCGCCCTCCTGTGGCCGCGTCGCAGCCTCAGCCGCTCCCGGCTCGCGGGCCGACCACGCTCCCCGCGGCGGAAGAAATAAGAGACGCAGAAAGTTTCCGAGCCAGGCGGTTTGCGAAAGGACAGAGCCGGGTCCCGAGCCTCGAAGGGCGGACGTGCCGGGAGCGGCGCCCAAGACCGCGGCGACGGCGACAAGTCGGGCCCCGCAGGGACCTCCCCCAAGGGCTCCGAGGTGCCCCCCGCGGGGCTCTGGGCGTGCAGATCCCGAGGGCGCAAGGCTCCTCCTTGCACCCCGACCTGACCGCAGAGGGCGGGGAGGGGAAGATGGGCCCACGGCCAGGACGGGGTGCCCCCCAAACCCCAGCTACAGCGCGCGCCGGGGGCTCTTGGGTTTGCTTTATTCATTTTCTTATTTGGAAGGAGGGGGCGCACCCACTCCCTTTGGCTCATTGTGATCCCCAACAGTCTGGATTCTGGGCGCCCCCAAAGAGCCCACCCGGAGTCCGCCGCCCCACCCAACGCCGCCCTCCCCCGCTGGGGTGACAAGTGGAAGCCGCAAATCCCCTTCCTCCTCTCCTCCAGCCTTCGGGCTTGCGGGGTAACGTCCACCTGGGTTTCCTGCCGCTAGCCCGGGGCTCGCCGGCCAGGAGGCGGCGGCGGTCCCGGAGCGGGCGAGGCCGGGCCGGGCGCGGCGCTTACCTCGTCTACGGTGAGCGGCATGCAGATCCGGTACTCTTTCAGCAGCATGGTCCTGCCGGCCGCGGATCCCCGGGGCGGGAAGCTGGGGGCGCCCTCCAGACCAGCAAGGCTGCCGCCCAGGCGCAGGGCAGGGCGCCCGGAGCCCAGCGCTCGTAGCCGGCGGGCGAAGCAGCCCCCGCGGCAAGCTCAGCTCCTGGCTTCCTCCTCTCCGCCCCAGAGCATGTCAGGGTTTGGGTCCGGGTGTTCGCAGCTCCTCCGCCTCCTCCCTCGCCGAGGCCGGTCCTCCCAGAACGCGGTGTTGCAAAGTCAGGGAGGTAGGGAGGGAGACCCGCTGGTGACGGCTCTGCTCGGCAGCCCAGGGTGGTAGGAGCGGCCGCCAGATCAGGACATGCCCGGCAGCGAGCGAGGGAGGAAAAAAGAGAGATTTCCAAAAATTAAAACGAATGCACAAAAGTCACCCGCTCGATCCGCCTCCGAAAGCAGAAGGGAACCTGGCGAACCCCCTCCTCCGGCGGGTCTGCCCGATGCTAATGTCACCAGGAACACATTGCAGCCGGAGCCGGAGATGCTGACTTTCCAGACAAAGGCTCGATCGGCTCCTCTCCGCGGGCGGTAAACAAGCTTTCCTGCTCTTTTTAGGGCCGGTCCCCGCGCCGCTCCGGGGCTCGGCTCGGGGAGAAAAGGGAAGCCGCCGCTCGGCTCTGCCCGGCTGGGGCCCCGGGCGCCTCCAACCTCAGCTCGCGGCTGCTAGGGGCGGGCGGGAGGAAGCTGGCGCCTTCCGCGCGCGTCCCCTCCCCCGAGTCCCTTGGCTCCCCGGGCGCCGTGCGTGCCCGCGAGTTTGCAGCCACCTCGCCGGGGCCGGAGCGTCCGCGCCGATGCAGTGTGCCTGGGCCCGGGAGGTGGGTGCGGGAAGAGCGAGCGCGAGCAAGGCTGACATCAGCAGCGGCCGCGGCGGGGAGGGTAGCCCCATCCGGCCAATGGGGAAATGGCAAAGAATGTGGAGGATTTAAACAAAACAGCATGTCTCTGCCAGACGGCGGGGCTGCTCCGGAGCGGAGCCCGGCCGGCGCTGGGGAGGCTCGGGCAGAGGGGCTTCCCTCGGCTCCTTTGCCCTTTGAATCCGCTCTCCATTGTGCCCTGAGTGCCGCCGAGCTCCATCCAGCCCCTCTGGGCAGTTTCTGATCCCCTGACCCTAGGGACAAGTCACCAATGCCCACCACCTATGTGTGGTCCAGTAAGCAAGTCCAGGGCTGGAGAGGCAATGGGTGGGATTTGGGAACAAACCCTTGCCTGGTTTCAGAGGAGAGATCCTGGAAAACTGGGAAGTGCAGCCGTGTGAATGGAAATGAAGTACAAACAGGGGGAGGGAACAACCAGAGAGCACATGAACCCCACGTAGCCTGTTACCTCGCCTGGCCCGGCTCTGCAATCTTTCTGCAGATTGTGCAGGCTCCGCACAGCAGAAAGAAAGAGTAGGTTTTCGTATTCGCACTCCTAAGTTCAAAAAGTCACAGTGAAATGTCAATGAAAATGCCTGGAGTGTTGCTATTTCATCCATATTAAACAGATCCCTCATTTTAACCACAAGAAGCACATTCTTCAGTTACTCAGGAAGCAGCATGGAACTGCTGAAGTCTGTTTTTCATTTGTCTGGTATTTTTCAGCTTGTTTTTATGAAAACTTGCCGGATGAAAAATGCATCAGTTGCCTGTATGAGAATAACCTGTAAGCGTTATCTTTTCTCCGGAAAATCTTCATGCTCTGAGGTTCTGAGGCTAGAACTTGGATCGGGATGCAGATGCCTCAATATAGAATTTTGAATTGTGACTAATAAGTAATTAACCAATATGACGATGATGGGCTTGTGGCAAAAGTCATCCAGAGGGCTGGAGAGAATGTATAACTGTGTTAACTGATACAAACCCTCCTAGGAAAATGATACCCTGTATCCAGCTTATATTTTAGTGGAAACTATTTTCCAGATAAATGCTTTCCAGAGTTGGCTCAGAAATATTCACAGCAACTAATTAAAGCTAAACCAAATTCCTCGAGGTGGAAAATCTAAATCTGACACTGCAGTGTTGAATAATAACACATTGGAAGGCTGTGATATGGAAAGAAACTCAAGCTGTTTTTCCTTTTTTTTTTTTTTTTTGCTTCTTACTTGAAAACAAATGGAAGACCTAATAATCTTCCCAGAGGCAGGAAGGCAAGGGATTGGCTAGCCCCACATACGCATTCACATAGGACATCGGGATGTGTAGGCTAGGTTCCTGGTTTCCTGGACATTTCCTGACACTGATTCTGGAAGGAAGTATTCTACTGACGGGTGACACGGTCGAGAAGCTACTTCTCTGAATTTTCCGAACTGTAAATTGTCACGTACATGCTTCCTCCATCACCCCTCTTGTTGTTGTTGTTGTTGGTTTGTGACAGAGTTTCGCTCTTGTTGCCCAGGCTGGAGTGCAATGGCATGATCTCGGCTTACCGCAACCTCCACCTCCCCGGTTCAAGCAAGTCTCCTGCCTCAGTCTCTGGAGCAGCTGGGATTACAGGCGCCCACCACCACCCCTGGCTAATTTTGTATTTTCGGTAGAGATGGGGTTTCACCATGTTGGTCAGGCTGGTCTCAAACTCCTGAGCTCAGGTGACAGCCCCGGCCTCCCAAAGTGCTGGGATTACAGGTGTGAGCCACCACGCCCAGCCCACCCCTCCTGTTGTAAGGTGACTTCTCCATTGGATTCTTGTTTTCATTCAGTGCATCCGCAGACCTGGTCATACTAATCTTGTGCAAGTACAGCCACCTTCAAAACCTTATAGCGATTCCCGGCTGGGCTCGGTGGCTCACTCCTGTAACCCCAGCACTTTGAGAGGCCGAGGCGGGCCGATCGCATGAGCCCAGGAGTTCAAGAACAGCCTGGGAAACATGCTGAAACCCTGTCTCTAAAATTAAAAAACATATAAAAACCTTTTGGGGCTTCTCTATGGCCTACTGAGCAAGTCAAAATGCCTTGGTAGGAGTTTCGAGGCTCTGGATCTACCTTTCCCACATTAGTCCATTACCCTTCCCAGCCCAACTCCAGCCAAACGAGAGGAGTTCGTTGGCTGCAAAAGCCCCTCCTCCCCAGCCACCTTTCTATCTCAACCCTTCTGCTGTTCAACCCATTGCCTTCACAGATAATCCCTCTCCCCAGCTCAATTCCCATGACACCATTTTAAACCCAGGCCTTGGCAATCTGTGCTTCAGACAGAGGTTCTGATAGCAGTGAGCTGGAGAGGCTAGCAGAGGTGGGAGGGGCGGGGTGCAGAGCATAGGGAGGGCATATTCATTCATAAGTCATGCACACTGAGGGCGGGGCGCGCCATCTGCTGGCCAAGCGCGGTGGTTTCAAGTCCTGTCCTCAGCAAGTGTCTGGCAAGAATTGTATCTTTGTTTCTTCTCAAACAATGAGGTGCAATATCTACTTACAAAAAACCTTGAAGCTGTTGCTATCATCATCATGGACAGTCATGATGTTCCGTTAACAATGTACAATCTGCTGTGGCTGATCATCACATTTTTTAATGGGGGTGGGGCACAAAAGGCAAAAAGGAACAAAACAGTAAAGTTACCAGAGAGGAATGATAAGACAAAGAGGAAACGAATATGAGTCTGTGCATGTGTGTGACAGGCACACCAAGATCATTTAAGAAGATCATTTCAACCTATTCTCTTCGAGGCATTCTGATGATCTCTTTAATCCTCCCTGTTTGTGTGAAAAAACTAATACGGTCTTGACCCACCTCTGTAAACAGCCTCTGAAAGAAAAGTGTACTAACAGGTTTTTCTGACGATTAAAAAATGAAAGCCGGGCATGGTGGCTCACGCCTGTAATCCCAACACTTTGGGAGGCCGAGGTGGGCGAATCACTTGAGATCAGAAGTTCGAGACCACCCTCGCCAATACGGTGAAACCCCGTCTCTACTAAAAATACAAAAAGTAGCTGGGCGTGGTGGCTTGCACCTGCAGTCCCAGCTACTTGGGAGGCTGAGGCAGAATTGCTTGAATATGGGAGGCAGAAGTTGCAGTAAGCCAAGATCATGCCACTGCACTCCAGCCTGGGTGACAGAACAAGACTGTCTCAAAAAAAAAAAAAAAAAGATTTGTCCCTTCTCTCTATATATTTATTCAAATATAAATATATATATATATATATCTGCGTGGATTCATGCTTATTTATTTTATACTTCAAGTTATAATCAATAATATAATCAATATTATGTTATTTATTTTGCTCAGACAATTCCAGCATTGGCCGTTGGGAGCTCTTTCTGGTTGACTCCTATGTGCTTTTGACATGCCTCTTTTTGGTTTTTGTTTTTTTTTTTGAGCCGGAGTCTTGCTCTGTCACCCAGGCTGGAGTGCAATGGTTCAATCTCAGCTCACTGAAACCTACACTTCCCAGGTTCATGCAATTCTACTGCCTCAGCCTCCTGAGTAGCTGGGATTACAAGCACCTGCCACCAAGCCTGGCTTTTTGTATTTTTAGTAGAGATGGGGTTTCACCATGTTGGCCAGGCTGGTGGGGAACTCCTGACCTCAGGTGATCCACCCGCCTTGGCCTCCCAAAGTGCTGGGATTACAGGCGTGAGCCACCATGCCTGGCCAACATGGTCTCTTTTTTATAACATTTTAAAAATCAAATGTTATTCCTGCTTTTTTTTTTTTTTTTTTTTTTGAGACAGGGTCTCGCTCTGTCACCCAGCAGCACGATATCAACTCACTGCAACCTCCATCTCCCAGGTTCAACTGATCTTCCGGCCTCAGCCTCCCAAGTAGCCGGGACTATAGGCACATGCCACCATAATTTTTGTATTTCTTTTGTAGAGATGGCGTTCTGCCATGTTATCCAGGCTGGTCTGAAACTTTTGAGCTCAAGCAATCCACCCACCTCGGCCTCCCAAAGTGCTGGGTTTATAGGTGTGAACCACTGCGCCCAGCCTACAATTAATTTTTGTTTTATTAAATATTACTTGCATAATTCCAAGAAAGTCTAAGTGTTTGTGCGTGTGTTTGTGTTTAAATACCTGTATATTTGATCGTTTGGTTACTAAGCTAATGTTAAATTCTTTCTTAATGACACATAGGAAGTCCCAAGGCAATTCTTATGTGTAGACCCACCCATCTATCAGGCCTCTGTTAAATACAGAGAGAATGTCTTTGATGTGGAATTGCTTATAGCTGTGCAGTAAATGCCCATAAAATAAAAGCGAATTGACAATGATGTATTACAAATTGCTTCACACAGAAAAAAACAAAACAAAACTGGAGGTTCTGTGGCCAAAGGTATAGCTTCTTTTTTAAACAAGTAAGATAGCAATAAATTGGCCTGTGCTGTGGCTCACGCCTGCAATCCCAGCACTTTGGGAGGCCAAGGCAGGCAGATCACTTGAGTTCAGGAGTTCGAGACCAGCCTGGTCAACATGGTGAAACACCCATCTCTACTAATAAAAATACAAAAATTAGTCACACTGGACAGTGGCGTGATCATAGCTCACTGCAGCCTTAAACTCCTGGGCTCAAAGGATCCTCCCACCTCAGCCTCCTGAATAGCTGGGATAACAGACATACCACACGCAGCTAATTTTTAACATATTTTTAGAAACAGGGTCTTGACATGTTGACCAGGCTGGTCTTGAACTCCTGGCCTCAAGAGATCCTCCTGCCTTAGCTGGGATTACAGGCATGAGCCACTGCATCTGGCCCAAATTCAAATCTTGGGCCCAAATGACACCCCTTAACTTGAAACTTGAACACTAACTTGCCTTCTTGTCACTTGGATATCCGACAGTCACCTCAAATTTATCCAAAACAGGTCCTTCTCTCTCTCTCTCTCTCTTTTGTTTTTAATTAATATATTTATTTATTTATTTATTTTTGAGACAGAGTCTCGCTCTGTTGCCCAGGATGGGGTGCAGTG